CGCCCATTTGCACCAGTTGGAATTCAAAGAATTCCAGCAGCTCACAATTTTGGATTTCTTGGGAAAAGCTGGGAGGCCGTTGAGGCCTACCCGACTTCGCCCAATTCATCAGCACCTCTCCTTTGCTGCATTTTGCTTGGACGTTTTTAATTTTTTGCCAACTAATGGGAGTCCATCCTAAAAGTTAAACTGTTAGCAGGGGAGCAAAAAGCAACCAAGTTTCAGCACCTCCGCACTAGGGCGATTGTGACAAGGTGCTGTCAGTCGCCTTGGACGCGGACTACATCACGCGGGTCTCGGTCTTCGGCATCGACCGGCTTATCCTCCAGTTGACGGACGGGACACGGCTTGGGACACGGCTTGGCATTGGACCTTGCGAACTTGAGGGCCCCTTTTTCAAGGAAGGATGGATTTTGAGCACCAGAGGCATGCGCTGGACTCGGGGTTTATGGTTGCTTTTGGATGTTGGCTCAGGGCTCCCTTCACTTCAAGAAGGCGGATGCCAAGAGAAAAACACTGAATGGAGCTGCATGGGACCTACAGCAATATTACTGGTGCACAGCATGAAGCAAGGATATTCTGCACAATAGTATTATATTCAACCTGAGCTGTGCGCGCACCAAAAGTTTGTTGAACAGTCTCCGGCCGGGCCCCAGGAGAAGAAACAGATTCCTTCGTGGGGTTGCCTGTTTCAGGCAAGCTTTTGGGTTGCAATTGCCAAGGGGTCAAACTGTAGATGGGTCGAACTACATTGGAAGAACATCTTGCAAACTCGCTGGAAGGAAGGACCGGGACCACTGGAAATCCGCAAGAAATGCGGCACTTTCCCAGAACTGGCAAACCTTGAAGTCTCAAGTGTAAGAAAGGATACAAGATGCGAATATGCGAGCAAACCCTTGAAACATACCAGGATACATCCCTGAATGAAGGGTTTTCCACTTTGAAACGGTTGAGGCGAGAATCGTGGGGCGTGTTCGGTTTAAGACATCCAGGGCACTGCAGGATGGGAGTAGTTTTTTTTGTTTTTACTCTGTTTTTGGCATTGGTTTGACCGGTATTACTTTAGATCAGTTCTGTTGAAGCTAGATGGATTTCTGCGTCACTTTGCTTCTCGTTCCCCCAGGGCCCAGGGGGACAGATCCCTTGCTCTGCGACGGGCGCAGTGTTGAGACCGCCTCGCAAGGAGTGGAGCGCGGCCAACCTGGCGAAGCAGTGGCTCTTCCAAAAGTTTGGCCGTGCACCCAGCACCTTGGCATCACCTTGGCATCACCTTGGCGCGTGTGCACTGAGACGGGGGGGAAGGATCCGAGCCTTGCGCTCGAGAGTCCAAAGTGGCGCGGCAGAGTTCCAGCGAAATGAAAGTGGTATACGGATAGGACAATCCGGCGAGCCAAACACGTCGAACGTGCTTTGGACGGCAGGAGAAAGGACGGCGAACGCCAAACTATCTGGCAAGGTTGGCCCAACCCCTGGTTCGAACATTGAAACCATCATACCACCATCATCTAATGTCAACAGCCTCCTTTTGGGGCGCCGTTAAAGTCGACCAGGGTCGTTTTTGCCCAACCAACCATGATATTTGTTTTTCCGCTTTGACGCATTTGTTCGCAGCACTCGGCATTCGCAGAACGCTCTGACACATGGTAGGGCAGCCAGACAATGGCAAGGGCGCAGGGCTGAGCAACACGACAATCATGGCGGCACCCATCACGAGGAGCAGCTATGCAGCGGAAGCCCACATCGTACTTGCGGGCAGAAAGCAAAATCATTTCTGGCTGGGAAACTGAGCTCATGCGGTAGCATCCACACCATGTAATGTGTATATGCTGCCCTGGCTTGATGCATTGTTCGATCAAGAGTTGGTTTGCAAGGCGTGTCAGCCCGCAGCGATTTATTCAGGATTTATTTGTCATATTGCACACTCCCAAACTACCGTTGTTTGGTGATGAACATTCCATGAGCCGTAGCCTTAAGCTGTGGCTGAAATCGCTGCGGGCGGACACGCCTTGCAAACCAACTCTTGATCGAACAATGCATCAAACCAGGGCAGCACATACACATTATGTATATAGACATAGACCGCCGATTCCCAGCGCACTTCTGAGTGACAATTCCCAACCATCCACCTCGAGAAGTTGAGCCAATGCACGCAATCCAGACTCCAGAAGAGTTGCAAAGACAACAAACAGATCAGCATGAAACGTGGCCACCACCAGTGCCCTGCTTGCAATCTGCAGGGAGGGTGTGCTGCGAGCATGTTGCGTCCTGCCCAGCGTGTACAGCTTCTGGCAAAGCTCCCACCAGCAAACTCATACCCTCTAAGAACTGCCAAAAGCTGATCACTGTCATCGAGCGCAGTCAAACTTTCGAAGCGGCGAGCTGTGAGCACCCTTTACAGGGCCCAGAGTGGCACATTTGCACCCACTCAGAGAGCCTGACGCGTTGCTAGCGCCGCGCCCTTCTCCAAAACACACGATTTGATTTTTGGACACTGAAGTGGTTGTGGATTTGATTGAGTTGGTATATACGGGGCTGTTTGAAAGGAAACCAAAGGCAACCCGTGCCTCGGTTTGGCGTTCGATCTTGCTTATTTAGAGACAACCCCGACGGAACCCATTTCAATTGTCCTTTCTTTTCATTCTGCAATTTCTTCCCCAACTGTTTGGGGCCCTGAACATGTTTGGTCGGTTTTCAAGCAACCAGCCCCCAAAACTCCCAGACTCGTTCGGGGGCACCAAAGAACTGTGTGGCAAGCTGTGGCCCAAGTAGCAGCCCAAAACGGGAGCACACCAACCGGGACCAATTCGAATTCGCTCAGGCGAGGGCGCACATTGCACCTGGAGCCCCCGAGCCCGCGCCTTCGGGGCCAAGTCACAAGTGCCGGAGGCGAGGCGGGAACGCTCGAACCGAAGGAGCGAGAATTCCACTCCGATGAACAGGAAGAATTCGGCTTGAAACAAACACGCTCACAGGTCGCCACTGGAGTCTTTGCAAGTGGAGCTTAGTGTTTATGTTTGTCCAGCTGCATTGTTTGCCTATCCCTTGGAAGCAGATGGGTGGCTACCGAATTCGTCATGCTGCACGCGTCGGGCCCCATATATTTGTGGTTCCAGTTCTGTTGCCAAGGGGGAGCTACGAAGGCTCCTCAAAGTTCCTCATGGTTCCTTATGGTGGCGGCTTGCGTGGAGTTCTCGGGAAACCTGCCGTACGCTGGAACCTGAGGTTCTATGCACCCCAGGGCGCCTGCTTCACATGGACAGCCGCGGGGTGGGCATGGCCACGTCCCCCATGAGACTTTTCTGGCGCCTCGGTGTGCGTTGGGATTGGGGCAGCCAAGGGTTTTGGTGGTTGATTCCCCATTTGTTTCAAAGAAATTGGTCTTTTCAAAAAACGATTTCCCGTTTCCGGAGGTTTTCCAGAGAGAAGGATCCCTGGGAAGGTACCCTTATAGTGTTGGTTGTTCACAGTGCCCCACCTTTTTAACCAGAACAGTCAACTTGCAAGAAGGGCAGAGGGAAACCAAAAGGGTTCCTAATTTTGAGACAAAAACATGTGTGAGATTTGGATGTTTCCAAATGGTTTCCGGTTGATTTGATCTGGTGTGATTTCCAAACTAAGCAACAGGGTCCAACTCGCTTTTCGACATTTTTTGTGAGTGTGAGAGTGCCCCTGTTGAGGCCATCATGACCATATTTCTTCTACTGTTCAATTGCCTTGTGCATGGGTGCATATTGCAGCAAGTACACCCAGCCTAAATGAGTGATTGCGCGCTCGAAGGTTTCATCTTGGGGTGAAGATGGCCCGCTGTTCAAGTGTCGAGCCCTGGAATGAGGTCCCTGCCGACCTTCTACCACGCAACTCGGATGTTTGGATGGGATGGCGGGTGACGCCCTTGATGTGTCTGTCGTAGGATAGGCTTCAGGACGCTTTCCCGGGCTGCGAAACCTGGACCGGCGCGTTCACAGACCAGACCCGTCGCTTTGAGGCCATGGTTGTAGGAAGACTGTGGGACCTCATTGAAAACATGAGGCCGTATGTAGGTGTTGGCTTCGTAAAGCTCCTTGGCAAGCGCGTCTAGCCGCAAACAGAGATCGAGCAGCTCAACCAGCTTTCGCTTGCTGACTGCCCCCTTTGGGTCAAAACATTCCCTTTGGGGGTAATTCAGAGCGAGTTTTCTTCATGGCGGAGTGATATTTGAATTGGAGCACACATGAGGAACCCAATGTTGCTCTGAGCACATGGCTGGAGATAGTGTCCTTCAGGCTTATTCAGCCCCTCCCCCCTAATCCAAGGGCTGTTATAGAAGGAACCCCGCCATCCCCTTGCCCTTCTTCAGACGAAGGGTGTGAAATTGGGGCAAAAGTACGTTGTCGGCACGTCCTCTTTGAGATACTCTACCCAAAACCATGCAAGTGCATGGGGAAGTGTTCCTTTAAGAGGGGGTGCTGCACTTCCATGCTTCTTGATGGGAGGATATAGTGCAAACAAGAAGAAGTGCCCAAGGGATGTTCAACTTGACTCAGGAGCTGTACATTAGCACGCACATGTTCCACGACCATTTGCCCATCCGCTACGTGGAGGGCCTGTTGGAAGCGCTGCGTAGCTTGGAACGTGAAGAAGTCTACCACATGTGCCGGTTTGGTGATGATACCCTTTTCCTGGTCTTTTGCGGGAACTGTCATGGGTTTCCCAAACTGGTTAACCCCTTTTAAAGTTCCCCCGCAAGTGGCAACAGGATGATGTGGGGTGGTCAAAAGATCTTGGGGTTTTCCAGGGTCGAGTTTTCCAGGGTGGTCATGGAGCCCGGGAGGATTCTGGCGAATCGTGCAAGTTGGATCAGGGCCTAAACAGGGGTGATCCATAAAACGATTTTTGGGCCAGGCCCATGACAGGTCACTTGCGTGAGGAACCCCGTTTTAGTGACTCCGCGTAGGGACTTCCATGCGCCTGAGGTCAAGCGCTGCCTGGCACGGGTCAAGGCCTTTGCCTCAAGGACGGGA